CATTTACGTTTTGCAACAAGAAAGAAGAAAGTCTGTTGCTGTGGATTGCAGAAATCCAGACGTATGTGAGTACCGCACCGGTCGAACCGGAGTCTCAAGTCGCGTTCACCACTTCTTGCATGGGTGGTGAGGCCAAGCAATGGGTGTTGGCCGAGGCCAATGCTGCGGGTTTCGAAGACATCGGTGAGTGGGCGAAGACTCTGACGCTGAAACAGTTCTTGGCGAAAACCAGGGACCGTTTTCTCAACAAGACGACAGCCGACAAGACCTTTGACCAGTTGACGTCAATTGGTCAAAAGCATTGGACGTCAGTTGAGGCTTTGTCCCGAGAAGTTGACCGATTGTTGCAGGTTCCTGGATTGAACCTGCAGGACAACCAAGTGTTGTACATCTATTCCCGCGCGTTGCCTGAGCCCATCCGGGGACACTTAGTCACTGAAGCGAAATCCGGTAAGTACAACTACAGACAATTYCGTGACCTTGCCCTGCAGAGGGAACAAACGACTTCCCAAGTCAAAAATTCCTATGCAGCGGTAGTGAAATCTGGAGGAGGAGGAGGTAGACAATACAATGGAAAACGAGTTCTCTGGCGACAGAAGCGCCAAGACCACACATTTGTCGTCTTCAATGACGACACAGTGGAAAATTGGCCGAACGAGGAGAATGATAACATCAGTGACTCCGGGAAGGGGGAAGTCACTGCTGTTGTGGCCAATAAGGGAGGACCACCCAGGACAGGAGGGAAGAAACAAAGAGCGTTTCCATGGCACCCTGGCATTGCTGATGGGAAGCCATGGGTCGAAATGGGTATGACTAGAAAGACTTGGCAGGAGCGCATGGACAATGCGCAATGTCTCAAGTGCGGCACAGCGGGACATGTGATCGCCTACTGCCCTCAGATCCGGAACCCAAAAGCGAACAGCCAGTAGGAGTAGCATCTGCTCCTACTGAGATTAAGGGTAAGAACGAACAGACAGGTAAGGCGCTTACGACCCTTTCCTACCCTTCTTCTCAATTGGCAGAGGATGATTCTTCCTAAGCCCATCATCCAGATCGCCCTGATCTTGTCTTATGTTCTGTCTCTCTGGATGACTCCCTTGATGAGCTAGGTAACGAATTGCTAGCATTGCGTGGCTCATGGGCTCGAAAGGCGAAGACTAAGGGCGAGTTGTTGTTTGCAGATDTTGAGATCGCACGAWCGCGAGTTGGTGCAATGTTGGACCCAGGATCAACGAGGTCCTACATCTCCGAGAAGGCAATCCGTAAGTTGCATCTCGGCATGAAGGTAAAAGACTTGTCTCGACCTATAACGTCTATGTTAGCAGACAAGAGTACGATCACTGTCTCTCAGTGTGTTGATCGTATTAAGTGTCGGTTCCGAACGAGGGAAGGAAAGAAGATTGTGCATGAACTATCCTTCCTCATAGAAAAGAACTTACCTTTTGATATCATTCTGGGTATGGATTGACACGAAGAAGCCAACCCGGACATTGATTTAAAAAACAAGATTGTGCAACTCAAAGATGCGCAATCAGAAATGAAACCAATTAAATTATATCACAAGTCTGGCACTGACTGAAGTCTATCATTTTGCTGTATGAGTTATTCAGCTTTCCGTTCAATGGTTTCTAAGAAAAAGTTGGAATAGGAAGTCATGTTGGTACTGGTAAAGAAAGCCGGTGAGTCTTCTTCTTCCTGTCCTCCGACGATTGAAAGTCTTCTCTTCGAATATAAGGATCTGCAGAAAGAACCCACCGGAATTACTGAACGTACTATAAAACATACTATTGAGATTGTTCCAGGCAATAAAATTCCCAAGGGCCTTATCTATCGCATGTCTTCCACGGAACTTGAGGAGTTAAAGAAGCAACTGCAGGACCTTACTGACAAGGGATGGATTCGCCCTAGTTCATCTCCTTATGGAGCACCTGTCTTGTTTGTGCCCAAAAATGAAGGTGAACTACGTCTATGTACTAACTATCGAGGGTTGAATGCCGTCACTGTTAAGAATGTCGAACCACTTCCTCGCATCGACGATTTACTTCACCAACTACAGGGATGCAAGTACTTCAGTAAAATTGATCTGAAGTCTGGGTACCATCAGATAGAGGTGGAGCCCGTGGGGACCAGGTATGGCCATTACGAGTTTATGGTAATGCCCTTTGGATTGACCAATGCTCCTGCTACATTCCAACGGTCAATGAACGAGTTATTTCGTCAATGGTTGGACCAGTTTGTCATTGTCTATCTGGATGACATTCTCGTATATAGTAAAACATTAGAAGAACACGAGAAGCATCTTCGTCTGGTTTTGAGTAAGTTGCGAGAAGGCAACTTCAAAATCAACCCGAAGAAGTCTGAGTTCGCTAAGTCTGAAGTTTTATACTTAGGACATATAGTGAACCAAGATGGCCTCAGGGAAAAAAAAATATCAGCAATTAGAGACTGGCCACAACCTAAGTCTGTAACTGAGTTACGATCTTTTCTTGGCTTGGCAAGCTACTATAGGAAGTTTGTCAGGAACTTCTCATTGATCGCTGCACCAATGAGAAGATTGTTAAAGAAAGGAACGATCTGGTTGTGGGACAAGGATTGTGAGTCCTCGTTCAAAAAGGTAAAGTACGCTCTGACTCACTACCCTGTTTTGAAAATTGTTGATCCATCTCTTCCCTTTATTGTCACCACTGATGCAATTCAATATGGGATTGGCGCAGTTCTTAGGTTGCTAATTCTACTTATGAAAGGGAATTGTATGCATTAGTCTGTGCCTTAGACACCTGGAAACACTATCTATTAGGGAGACACTTTACTATGTACTCAGACCACTCTACCCTGAAGTGGATAAAGACACAACCTAGGCTCTTTGATAAACTAGTACGATGGTCTGTATTCATTGATACTTTTGATTTTGAATTGAACACTATCAAAGGTAAGTCTAACGTGGTTGTAGATGCATTGTCTAGAAGATGTGATTTCTTTGGTGCCATTGTCTCTTACCTAGACGTTGGGAATGATCTAAAAGATAGAATTCGCCAAGGCTATGTTAATGATCCTATATGGAAACCTATCATGGATGTCCTTGCAAAAGACCCGAGTCTACTTCCTAACTATAAGATAATCGATGGTTTGCTTTTCTTGTTAGACCAAACTGAACAA